ACGACACCCAGTGGTATTCGTCTGATACAAACAATTTGTAATTATTTTGTTTTATGCATTTTTCCCTCTCTACATAATTAACCCTATATAATTTTATATGTGCATTGCAATAAATCAGTTTCAATCTCAATCTCTCTCTCCTTACTGGTGTGGCGTGTTCTTTAACGTTCTTTTCTTAAGCCCAAAAAGAACGGCTTTTAATTATTTTTCTAATTGAATAAATATGATGGAACTTTCCAACCCATATGCGGTATTGGCGGAGAGCCAATCTACACGATGGTATGATTCCCAATCGAGGTGGCTGAGATGCAAGTCGATTTAACGACGATAAAAGATTCGAAGAAGAATAGTTCGAATTCAGATGGAGGAGTTTCTGGGGAAGGGATCCGTCTACCAGCTGATGAAGATGTCCGGCCATGTTATGGTCGGACTGGCCAGTATTGAGAAGGCGGAGTGGCTGGTGAAGAATGGACTCACTATCAACAACACCTTCCTCAGGGCATTCCCATACAGAAGGAAGGCGGAGAAGATCATCCTCGGGAACCTGCCCATCGCAGTGAGAGAGGAGGACATCATTGAAGCTCTGCGACCTTACTGTCGGGTTGTCTCCTTTGCCTATGAAGTGGTGTCCTGTAACGGATACACCTGACCACCGGCAACAGGGAGGCCTTCGTCCTTCTGAATGAGGAGGCAAATTCCACCAGCTTCCTGCCAAGCTGGTGATCATCTCCAAAGGGGAGTCTACACCCGCCTACATCACCTACAGCGTTAGGTGTAGTATATGTCACCGCCAGAGACATCGACGAGCCACCTGCCCCTAGGGCACCCGAAGTGGACCGGTGTTGACACCTTCACCCTCCCAGCCCACCCACTTCAACAAATCCGTCCTCTCTACACCACCTGCGGAACTGTCTGCACCCTTCGAGCAGACCCCCTCAACATTCTCCAGCCCTGCCGCGCCTGCGTCCTGTCCGTTCCTACGAGACTCCAGCCCCCGAGCTTCCTGCTCCGGTGCCGAGCACCAGCCAGTTGCAATCACGATCAGAGCCCTTCCTGACCAATACGGAGTCATCAGCGGCTCCTAAAAAGGTGAACCAAACCATGACTGTAACATCCATCCAGTCTACTACCCCCGTGGCCCAAATCCTATCTCCCTCTCTGGCCCTTCAGGAGAGGGATCAGGTAGAGAATAGGTTCATAGAGCTGAACGCTGGCTCTATTCTGGCCCCTCTATATGAAGAGGTTGATGATTATGAAGTAGTGGCCGCGGTTCTATACCGCTTTGGCAGTTAAACATTCCTCGATGAACTCTCCTAGGGAAACAGGAAAATTTTGTACGATTTCCTCGGTGATGAAATTGAGCACGTTGGGGAGAAAAACCCCTTTATAAGAACGGGCCTTTCCGAACTCAGGGCGGCCTTGAACATTTGACATTGTACAGACGTCCCTTCAGAGAATCCTCATGTCTGATGTAAACATAGATATATATTGTGAAAAATAGTACAAATGTGATATTGTACTGGGATAAGGTGCATAAATTAAGAATAGGGCATCTCCTTATTGTGCAACTGAAAGTTGCTGATGGCTTGCGCCATCTATCGGAATAAATATCAACTATTCTCGTTGATTTTTAATCATTCCAGAATTGGCCAAATACCTCTTCTTGATTAATCAAGAAAAGCTAACCACGGACGCGTTTCGGGCTGTTCGCCCTTATCAGCGTGGTGCAAGCTGTACCTCAACGACCAAAAAAATAATTGGTCATTAAAGCATCCTGAAAAATCATGAAACGAGTAGTTGAGGCTAGAATTGCGTGAGAACGCTACACAAAATATTGGCATCAGAGTTTACAAGGAATGACTTCTTTGAAGAATGAATGGTAGGGGTAAAACAATTGAACTTACAGGTTCTGTTGGTTTAGAAAGAAAGTAGATTCATTGAGATCATTGAGGGAGGGTTCTGTCTGCTGTACGTGCCAGTGTTGTCCGCCACAGTAGTGGCAGGGATATGGCGGAGTCTTGTCCATGGTGGAAGGTGTCCTGCTTTGGCACGGTGATCGTTCTTGAACAAATCTAGTACTGGGAAAAGTATGCAGCAGGTTCATCTCCGTCGTAGCTGATCACTTCTTCCGGATCACGGTTAAAAGGTTGCTCGAGGAAGAGGGTGAGAGCTTGAAGAGAAGTGGCTACAGTTGACTTGGTTGTAAATTCTTGTGGAACGTGGCTGTGGGTTTTTCCGATTACTATGGCTTTGCTTCTTGTTTTCTTCATATTCTTGTATTGCTTCTCGGTCAGGTCTCATCATTTAGACTTTAATTGTGGTATAAAAGGTGGGGAAAAGAAATAATCACACCACAAGTTGGAGAAGGAAACCAAGGCAATCAGAGAGATAGAGGGACAGAGACGGTTCCGGCACAGCCGGGCGGCTGTTCGTGTCGAACACAATTCCCAAATGTCTTAAAAATTCCAAGGTGTTAACTGACGGGCACCAGTTACCGCCCCTTGGAATGTCGCTGCGGTCTCAAGTGACCGGACTTTACATCCCGTCTCTCTCTGGACTATTCTCTAGGTTGGCATTATTATTCCTGGAAGAGTATATATTATGACATATATATATAGAAGCAATGGGCGCCTCTCCCGTCAAAATAAACGTCAAAAACTGACGCCATATATATATGTCGTAAAAAAAGATGTATTTTAGGTACGTTCCAATTCATTCATGCAGTCGTGGATTGAAGTGAAATGATAACTTTTATATCCAAAATTGTATTTTTTTAATGATTATATTTTAAGAACAAAACAGTTTGCATACATACAATTTTATAAATATAATCTAAGTATATACAAAAAACATCTTGGGTTGTACTCCTTTTGTTAAGGATTTTAAAAAATCAACTCTGTGTTAATTCTATGATTATTTAAATTATAATTATATTAATGAATAATAAAAATCATATTTTTATTATGTCATATATATGTATATTTATCAATTGTGTTATATATTTATATCTATTGAAAAAGCCCTGTACGATTTATAAATGAATAAAACAAAGCATCAAGGGCTGCGTATCTTTATTATTCATTCACAGTATAAGATATCACATGTCTGATGGTATACCTTGCAAGTTGATATGCACGTGTATCGTGGATATGCATGTTAAATTTAAATATATATATAAATCTTATTTCAAACTAGTTGGATTATTGTTTCATTAATTCCTGTAGAAGGGCGTATGTGCCCGAAAGCTCGTATATATTTGTTCTAATAAAGATACGCAGCCCTTGATGCTTTGTTTTATTCATTTATATTTATATCTATTTATTCCTTTATTTATTATTATATAATCTTATTTATTCGTATTTATTCAATTTTGTAATTAACCATATATAATCTTATATGAACATTGAAATAAAGTAGTTTCAATCTCAATTCTCTCTCTCTCTTTGAAAGAGAGTTTGTTTCAAAAAATCTCGAGGGATTCCTCCATCCTTATCAATTTATTGTACACAAATAATTGTAACAATCAGTAAAACAATAAGGGTTGGTTAAACATTTTCGGGAAAAATTTGTACTAAGATATTTATTCATCAAGTTTTTCATATCAAACAGAGCCACTGGTTGAAAAATATAAAATAGTGATGAAGGGTTTAGCGAGTATTTCTTTAAAGTTTTTGTATACAGGTTTTAGCTTTGGACCCATAATTCAGTGGTTATTACAAAGACGTGACTATAAAGAAGCGTTTATTACGCAATTAATGATTCAATATACACTCATGCTCAAAACTTAAGGAAGTTGTACCTTTTAGCATTTATATCGGGATTCAGAAAATAACTATGAAATATATTTTATACACAGTGACCTCTATTGAAGACACACGAGATAACAAGTAGAAACAAATTGCCTCTTTCTAAAAAAAAGACAACTGTTAACGTTAAATACTTTTAACTTTCTTAAGTTTTGTAAATGAGGGTACAAACCTTTTTTCTTCATTACCTTGGATGATTAAGGCTTTGTCTATCTGTACTACCGGTTCTACAATTCGGCATTAAATTTGAGAATATCGTTAAATATATTTTTGAAAGGTTTACTAGAAGACACGCAGTATTTGTTATGCCCTACAAAAATACTTGATATAACTGATTACGTAATAAATAATAGTGTAATATTTATTTATTATTTCTACCACTGATATCTTTTCCTTTTTTTATTTTCTATGAGGAGTCTAAGTTAGACAAATTTCTTCATAAAAGGCTTTGGATGTTTTAATTGAGTAAATAAATGTGAGACAAACACACATCTAACCTATGTACAGATATAAAAAGGTGTTTAAAGATTGAGTCATATTTGATAGCCAAGTAAACCTGGATTCTCAACACTCCCTCAATAAATATTTCCTGCCGGACGAAATCCTCTTACAGTCGGCTGCCTATAAAATACCATAGAAGGTCACCCTAATAAATCTTCCTTTATTCACCCCATCAAACAACTGCTTTTCCCACAGATGAAGTTCCATATTGCATTTTCTTAATCAAATTATCATAAATAAACGTTAATTGCGAGGTTAAAATATTTTAATTGGCAAAATTTTAATAATAATAATACGGAAGAAATTATAGTGGAGAGAATTTCGTTAATTCGGTATACATTGATGAAAAATCTAATTATAGTTTGAAACGAGCTTAATAAACTTCAATAATTAGGACCTCATTATTTAAGATTATACATACATTATATTTGGTCTTTTTATATACCTTTTGTTTAAGTAAATAGTTTATTTCAGGAGAAAGACCTTTATTTCATAGATCAATTTCCTTTCGGCTAAATTTCCACCTATATTTTGGCTATGGATTTGGCCTAGCCATTCAACCAGCAAAACACCCCTTTAGGGGATTGTGAAGATTTTTTATTCATTGTGGATCTTATGAAGTAAATTAATATCTACAGACTAAAGAAAGTCATCATCCAGAAACCATTTTCTCCATATGGACTCAGTCATCCCTGAGCATGCCAGGATTAGAATCTGGAATCTTCTGAATCATAGTCGGATGTGTTAACCATATTGCACCACATTCTAAAAATTGATATTATATAGATAATTATTTTAAAGAGAGATTGAGCAATCTATAATAATATCCATAAATAAATATAAAGCATATATTGGATCTAAATTTATTAATCAACCAATATTTCTAGGGGCAAAACGCCTCTCTTTATCAAGGCCTTTCTTTGATTTAAACTAATTCACGTGGGTATGTGATCCACTCATGCTATACAAGATCAAAGTAAGAAACTATCTGATGAATATTTCACTGTATATAAAATATATGTATAATTGTTATATTTAATAATAAATAAAAGAGTATATAATTAAATAACCATTTGATTAATTAAATGAAGACACTGATAAATATTATAGAAATAAAAATGAGTAAGGATTATGATTCAATATGTTGTGTTGATAAATATAAATAAAAATATATTACGAGTATAAATATATAGAAAAAAATAATTAAAAATAAATAAATAATTTAGGAAGATATAAATTTTCTATATATTTCTGGAAGGTCAATTTTCCTATTCAAGCTGGGCCTCTATAAAAGATTCAGAAAGCATAAATAGGAAAATTATACCTCTAAAACCCAAAACAGGCAGCGGATTTAAAACTTGTTCACAATCTTTACCTTATCTACATTTGAAAGGCAACAATATGTTACCTTTTAAAAATTTTTCAAAACAACACATATTTTACTATACGATATATTATATATACAGTATATATATATTATATTTAAACATAATTTTCAAATATACAGAACGCAAAAATTATAGCTATTTGAATAAAAATGCGTGCATTTAAATATTAAATATATTTATACTATTAAATACTATTTAAAAAATATTTATTCGAAATATGGTTCATCAAATTAAATAAATATTTGATTTATAATTTTTAAAAAGTACTTATTTAAAGATAACATTTCGATATTAAATATTTTTTCTATCGATAAATTAAATATATGTTAATATTTTTATCTCTCTCTCTTAATTGAAATTATTTTATTACATATCCGAATTTTTTTTCACAAATAAATTTCAAAATATTTCTGTCTATATAGATATGTAGTGTATAAAATATATAAATGTGATGTTAGATCATGACATTTGACATTTGTCTTCAACTGTCAAGGGACATATTTGACATGACCATTATTGTCTTTTAGGGAAATTTCACATTTCCTGACTTTTTTAAAATTATATATATACATGACATATATATTTTGAATATTTCTGATCATTCTTATAATAATATATATAATCAATAACTTGATATTTGTTATTTAATTTATTTATTTATATTAGCAAA